TTGACAGATGTTTGACAGATGTTTTTCGAATAAATGTCCAAACCATTTCATTGTTTGGATTCCTTAGGCCTACCTGCCTGCCTGTCTTCCTGCCCATATATCATGCTTTAACGTTTATTGTTGTGATGTGAGGTCGTGGTGAGAGGATATTGCTTTGGAGGGGTAATAAACCATCACAGAGCACCATTACCTTAATGAAAACACTGTAAATGTTATCAATTGATTAAGTAGTAGGTCTATTTCAGGTGTTACCTTTACCGTAAATGCTGCGCTTTATTTTTATGAGATTAATTGTCCTTAAGTGACAGCATCTCAATGTCACAGTGTCAGGGTCCTTTCAAAACCAACACACAGGTGTTAGGAGACATTAAAAAAACTAAAACATAAATGGGTTTCCACAAACAATCTGGCCATCAACTACGTTTCTACAATAGATGAAAGATAAAAGGAAACACTCGTATCGATCCATTTGATTTTATCCCAACTCTGAGCATGCATCAAGTCTAAACTGGGATACAGTTCATATGTCCTGTATTTTAAGGTTTTGTGCGTATGTTATTATAATAATTATTTTTTTTAAATAAGAAAAAAAAGACATTGTAATGAAATATTTATGCTACAGTTAGATACATATAATAATAGGCTATGGCATGATTATTATAAAAATGTGGAGTAATATAACAATTATTATTTTAAGCTTAGCTGACTATGACCTTTAAAACTGCCATGTCATTAAATAGGATTGTTTAAAATCTGATCCCCAAATTCAGAAGTGGATAAACATGATGCACTTTGGTTCTTCCATAAGTTACATCAACTAAGAATGGTAAAGTTTTTAACTGCGGGAGACAGTGAGATCCGGCTCACCTCCATACTCGCTCACTCTGGGTATCATCATCCCGGCTCTGATCCAGTGCTCCAGCGGGAGGGTCGCGGCCATGGTGGCCCCCTTCAGCTGCTCGGGGTATGGTTGGACCAGCTGCGTGAAGCTGGGGTACATGAAGGCGTGGTGCTGTCCTCCGAGGGCCGCCAGAGGGTACATGGAGCCTGGGTGCATTCCGAGGAGACCCCCTTGGTGCAGAGCACTGAAGCCTGTCTGGGACAAGTTAAAGAGCTGGGATTTTGACAGGACTCCTGGCTGGACTACAGAGGAGTTTGTTAGGTTTGAATGAGGGGAGGGCGTCTCTGAGCCGCAGTTTGACACCGGACTGCCGCCGGGACTCCTGCTGTAATACAACCCCGGGGACGCACGGTCGCTGTCCGTCCTCTGTTCCACGTCGTGCGCCAGAAGCGCATCAATGCGAAAGTTTTTAGATTTCTCCATAGTGGTGGTCATCCTGTCCCACGACGTCTCCAATTAACAGCAAATGACAATTTGCTTGGAAAACAAGTTCTGTTCTAGTTGATATCTTGGATTCACAATTGTAACTTGAGAAGTAAACCCCTCTGGTGAACTTTAAATCTCTAATTCTTAAACACTCGAGGTCAGCTCTTAAAGTTAACAGAGTTAACCGCTATACTCCTCTTCCCTGACGAAATGTCTTCTTACTGACTCACTCCACTTAAGCCCTGTGCGTAAAGACCACTTCACTCACTCCAGCAGTTAGGTGAAAAATTACTGGCACACAAAAGCGCTATAAAGTTTGCTCTGTTGTGATTGGCCAGAGCCCCGCAGCACAGGGGCAGGATATATTCCTGCTTATAACGACTTTATTAGGCATTGGTCCACTCATATATCAGCTCTGGGTTGAATTTTAGACAAATACAGCAAAGTACAAGTCTTAACATGAGCGTTGTGACGATAACATAATGATATACCAGGAGGTTCAAATTATGTCTAGTTATGAATTCATTCTTAAGCAGTGTTGGGCTAGTTATTCTAAAAATGTAATATATTAATCATTACTCTTTTTAAAAAAGTTATATAATTATATTACTTATCTGTCCCTGCCAACAGTAATTCGTTACACTACTAGTTATATTACTTTTCTGCTACTCCCTAGAAAATTGGTCATTGTGTCCTTTCTCCTCAGATTCATGGCGATTAAAATCCAGTTTTGTCTGTTTAAATCAAAGTAATGGAATATTTCCAGCTGCTGAATGTAAATGTTCCATCTTCCAAGCTAGTTTCCTCCACAATTACAAAAATGAATCCATTATGTGACTGGATTGTTGTATTTCAAATCAGTAGAGGGTGACAACAAAAGTAATACTGAACTAATTATTTTTAATAATACAATAAAAGTTACACACTGTTCTGAAGCATTCACAATCCTATCTATATATACAACTTTACATGTGTGACTTTTTTTCTACCGCCTTTCTTTTTCATGTCTGCTATCTGTGTGGGAGTTTTGACCTCATATTTCATCCCTGTCTGTGTCAGGTGTGATTGAGGTGTTGCTTTCACACACACACACACACACACACACACACACACTTTCACTTTAGACAGATGACAGAATTCATAATTTTACAACTAACACTTGATTAAATTTTACTGCCTGCTAAGGTTGACACAAAACTGAACCGTTCTTATCAGTTGCTGCTGCTATGATTACCGGTCATCACCACACCATGGAGCAGATAAAGGGCAGTAAAGTAACAGAAAGTAAACTCATTTTCTCTCCCTGCAGACCACAGCCACACAGACAAAGTATGGACAGGTGACACAAAGTGCTGTTGTAGTTGTCTGGCATTTATTTACTTGAACTATGCACATAATAACATATAATATACATTCATGTGCAAGACGTCTTTCAAAATATGGGCATACGAGCACACATAATTTGATGAAACAGCATATTTTATATAAAGCAAAGTATGAATCTAAACCTGCTTTGCAGAACTTGCTGATCTTCCTCAACCCTTCATTCAACATAAGGCTTCAGGTGGACTTAACTTGCATCTGTGTAGACTTCAGCCACAGTTTAGTGGTGATTCCCTGCACCCGGTTTATACAGGACTGATAAGAGACAGTCGGAGGCCTGGGAAAACAAACTGTTCTCACTTCAAAGACAAACACACCAACACCTGCTGAACTAGCCAACACATAAACTGGAAAACTAAAATAAATGGCCTACAGATGCACATCTGTGTGCAGGCATGTGTGTATGTGACGAACATCAAGGCAAATGATTATCTAAGTATTATTATATGACGGTTTTCAGACATTAGGAGCCTTAAGAAATCTGAATGGAAAGGGTTTTTGACATGCAGAATTGTTTGAATCCGTGAGACAATGAATAAAATGCACAAGTGAAATATTTAGAAATTGAATCAGTGCATTGCATACTAAACGTGGGCACAAACACAAGTAAACAGGCTTTGTTCTTACATTTTAAAAGCAACTTATACCCACCTGAAGCATCCAGTTTTTTATTGTGTTTTTTAAAAAAGAGGATGTTATTGCAAATTGCAAATTAAACGCTGTCTCTGAAAACATAAATGCTTTGTTTGTTAGTGATTAGGTCTTTCTTTCCACTGCCCTTGATAGTCAGACAGGCCGCAGTAATGTGTGAAGCGCAGGATAAAACGAAGGTTGTAAAAGCCAGCTGTAAAATAATTAATACTCTGTGATCTGTTCTACATTAGATAAGGGAGAGGGGAGTATGTATCTCACCCTTTAATAAAGTCTGTACAACATATCTTGACAATGATATCCGTGCACAAATATCACATCGTTTAAGATAAGATTCTGTAGACATAAAGGACAGCACAAATTTCACACCACTGAGAGATATTATGTTTGGTAATATAAAGCAATACTGATTTATGGTCATTAGATTGCCATGTTAACAACCCTTAACAAAAAAGCCTTTGTGTTCATATAATCCACCCACATAGCTTTTATCTATAACACTCATAACTTGATCCTTTGTACAGTAATATAGTCTGGTTGTTGGAGGGAATGATCAGGTGTATGAGGTCAACCTGTGTCTTGTCTGATTAAAATGGAAACATTGTTCATTAACGGCATTCCTTCATCTACAGCGGCATTTATTAAACCAGAGGTCAGGAGTGAAGGGTTAAACTGGATGTCTATTTCATTTAAGTCTTTCAGTGTCAGAAAAGCAGCCCATGTTAAATGATTCAGGTGAATATCATAAAGTCACACTGCCCGACAAAGGCAGAGAGCAGGAACTGCAGAAGCAGGGAAGTTTAAAGGAGGGTTTTCAGGATGGCCTCTGCCTTTGAATAATATTGCAAAATGCACTGTATACAAACAAAATGTGGTCAATTATAATTACTTTGTTTAATGAAATGAACTTTATTACGATTTAGGCCTACCCCCTAATAGTCGACTAAACTGTTAGTCGTCAGGAAGAGTCTTAGTCGATCCACTTTTTCGTAGCTAGTTTGCAGCGAGTTGATTTCTAAGTGACCTCATACATCATTCATGTACAGATGAGTCTGTGACTATTTGTTTTTGTGAAGTTGAAAGTTATTTAGTATTTTTGAGAAACAAGAAACGCAACGTCATACTGTGTTGAAATAAATCTAAATGTTTAGTCTCCTTGCTGGTTGTTCCTACACCTTGTTTTTTGCTAGGTGTTTGCCTGTCCATGTTCATATTCAAATCAATATAATACATTGATCAAATATATTCAGCTAATACATTTACAATTTACATCTACCTAAATATATTTAAGTTAGCTTAAACCACATGAGCTCCACTTGAGTTAAACTGAGACAGCTATTGCTGTTCTCTGCTAAGCTAGTTTTATTAGCTTTAGCTGGAGTTTAGCTGGGTTTATTATAATCTTCATCTTGAGTGAATTTGACTTTGTTATTTGGAATATACATATGGTATACCTGAAATTTTATATTTTTGAGTTACGGATAACAGCTCCGGGGGGGAATTGATAAGCTAAGTCAATATAGCTTCAGTTAAGGCTAGCTGTGGCTATCTCATCAACTAGCTTTCACTTTATAGTGCTCTGTTGTTTCTTTAGCTGTCTGTTTAAGTGTTTTCACTGAAAGAGAAAAGATTAACAAGCCAGGGTGTAGTTCCTCCAACATTTGGAATTACAACTGTTGTGTTATAGATGAGCTGGAAGTGTTTTCTAATAGCCATGTTTGGGTTACAGCCACCTTACACAGAGACAGGAAAGCAGACATATTTGCATGCACAGGCACTCTCACACATACACACGTCGACAAAAGCAACAATGCAGACGGCAAAGTCAAACTAGAGCAAGAGCAAGTCTGGGTGACAGAGAACAACTACTCTAGCTATAGATCCTCTCTACCCTTAGCTGTAAAAGAACCATTCATGTTGCCTCTATTCATACACAAATGTAAAAGAGGTTAACGCAGTGGGCGAATCTGTCAGACCTCTATAGTTAAGAGGCAAAAAGGTTACGCCATTCTTGCATGTTGCACAGGAATATGGGAGAGGTAGAGGCAGAGGCTAAATGACAATGGATTTCATGAAATTGATTAAAAGAGCTCTTTTTAAAAATATATATATATATATGAATTGCAGAAAAGTTGCAAAAAGTTGCCTTTTTTATATTCTTTCTGCAAAACAGCATAGCATTAATAACATAACAAGTGATAAGTTCTCAAAAATCATGAGACATTCATTTTCCTAATTTTATCAAAATGTATTTGGATTTTAACCTTGCTCGAGACATTAGTGACCCTCAGATTAACAGGGCCAGTGTTTTTGTGAAGTAAAATATGACTATGTATCCCAGGAGACATTGAGGTTAAAAGAAAATCCCCCAAAATCCCCAACAGATAGAGTATAATAAAGCCTGTTGTTCTCCTGCTGTCAGTGTCCTATTGTGGTTTCAAGTCTAATATCTGCTTTTGGTTTGGTATTGTTGTATCTATTGTCATGTCCCAGTTTTGCTCTGATTGGCCTAATGGGCCGCAGGGGAATAGAACACTTCCTGGTTGTTCAGGGTTGCAAGGTTCAACGTCATTCAAAATGAGTTGATTAATGACGGCCGTCACAACTGAGACCGCGCTATAATGAGGAGCACAAGAGGGAGGAGCGGAGGAGGGGAAGAGGAGGGAAAGGAGGGGAGGTGGGAGGAGGAGAGCTGAGATTGGATGATTATTACTCAGCACAGTAAACAGTGAGATGGCAGTACAATGAGATGAGGCTTCAGGGTGGAAGTGGAGGGAGAGAGAGGAGAGGAGGCACATAGCTAATTAGTCCTGAACAGAGGACTGTGAATGAGAGGAGGAGACAGACACACGTAAAGCTGGTTAACACACAAAGACAGGGGCAGTGACAGGGTGGCAGAGTGGTGGCTGCAGAAAGTAGTTAAACATCTGTTGCTCTGTGGGACACCCAGACTGCTCTGCAGGGTCAGGTTCCCAAAATACTCAGTACCCAAATAAGTTTTTCCTTTAACACAAAAACATTGTGGCTGTAAGCTTGTTAAAACCCTTCTACCAAAAGTGTCTTCTCTGTAAAAAAGGTTTGGGTAAGTGGAGATCATTTTCTTCATTTCAAACACACACTGATGGAGTGCTTATTGCTTGGATTTTATTGAAAGTACAGATGGCAGCTTGATTTTTGTTCATTGTTTTGTGCCATTATCCTTAAAGGAGTATCTCCTTC